GAGAGGAATGGATATTTGTTTTAATCCCCAACCAGTCCCTCATCGCCGACCCCACAATCTGCCCGCCTGGTTTTGACCTGCCCCATCGCCAGTGGTCCCTGTTGAACCGGTTCCAGACCGGGCAAGGTCTCTATGCAGCCAACCAGTATCACGAGATGGGTACCCAGAAGTCACCTGCTACAGGACAGGCCCAACAAGGAAAATAACAGAACACCTCTTGCCATTACCTACAGCCCCCAGCTAAAGCCTCTCCAGCGCATTATCAACAATCTACAACCTATCCTGGAAAACAATCCCTCACTCTCACTGACCTTGGGAGGCAGGCCAGTCCTCGCTTACAGACAGCCCCACAGCCTGAAGCAAATACTCACCAGCAATTACACACCACATAACAAAAACACTAACCCAGGAACCAATCCCTGTAACAAACCCTGTTGCCAACTCTGTCCCCATATCTACTCTGGCGACGCCATCATAGGACCCAACCACATCAGCCACACCATCAGGAGCTCGTTCACCTGCACATCTACCAATGTGATATATGTCATCATGTGCCAGCAATGCCCCTCTGCCATGTACATTGGCCAAACCGGACAGTCCCTCCGCAAAAGAATAAATGTACACAAATCGGACATCAGGAATGGTAACATACATAAGCCAGTCGGAGAACACTTCAATCTCCCTGGACATTCAATAACAGATTTAAAAGTAGCCATCCTTCAACAACAAAAACTTCAAAAACAGACTTCAAAGAGAAACAGCAGAACTAAAATTCATTTGCAAATTTACCACCATTAATTTGGGCTTGAATAGGGACTGGGAGTGGCTGGCTCACTACAAAAACAGCTTTGCCTCTCCTGGAATTGACACCTCCTCATCAATTATTGGGAGAAGACTACATCCACCCTGATTGAATTGGCCCTGTCAACACTGGTTCTCTGCTTGTAAGGTAACTCCCTTCTCTTCATGGGACAGTATAATAAGGCCTGCATCTGTAATTTTCCTGAATGGTCAGAAGGTGAAGCATGAAGTGGAACCGGTCTGTCTACGTGTGAC